GGGAAAGAGCTGCCTCCCAAATAATTAAATATCATCTGCTTTACTACATCTCTCCTATTTGATAAATGCAAGAAAGAATAGGGGAAAGGAATCATAATTCCTCAGTCACCAAGACTCTTACAGAAAAACACCTTTCCATTTCCAAAGAAAGAAAAGATTTTTTTAAAATCTGTTCTCTTTCATTTTTAGCCCACTGGTAAATGTAACTGGCCCATTACAGGCACTTTCCAGCGAGGATATTCTTTAGAGGAGTGAAGTGTCAGAGACATTTGCAGTATAATGAGATGACAGTGCCAATTCCCCTGTTTAACTGGTTCCAACGCAGCGCAGAACAATAAAACCACATTTCTTATCACGTGTGAGAGGAAAAACATATTTGGGGCTCCACGGACCAGCAAACGGACGGAGGAAGGCACCGTGAATAATCTCGTGAGTGTTTTGTGAGAACTGCCACTGATGAAGTCTCCTGCCCGCTCTGGGCCAGGCTGGGTAACCTTTTATTCCTTCTCAGTCACCGCTGTAGACAGCAGGCTTAAACTGCACAGAATAGACTCCAACTGATGCAATCACATAATTATTCTGCACTGAAAAACATTTTTTTTATAAATTGTCAGAGAAGAATGTGATGGGTGAGTTTTTATTTAAATTTCAATCAAGAAACAGAACGAGCATCAGAATTAAATATTCTTTAAAGATCACAGACAGCTGGGTGGAAATTAAAATATAAAGAGAATAATTTTTTAAATCCAGAGAATAAGAATCTTTCAGAATGATCTCAGCCACATCACCCAGGGGACCTGGGGAGCCACAATACTTGTCTGTATGAACAGCTGATACTTGGGACATTCAAAGGAAGTAAATGACAGAAAACAGAGATGTTAAGAAACCAAAAACAGAGTTATGAAGGTCTCAGCTATCTGACATCAGATGCTGGATTAGGCAGGATGAGCTCTAGGTAGAGAGCTCTAGGTACTACAGGAAACCACTGAAGCACGTGTAAAAGCTGCAGCTGACTCTAGGATGTGTGTGTGTGTCCATGGACACAAATGGTAACTTGGTAAACTTAAAAATATTTCACCTTGACTTCTGTCTGTGCTATAGCTACTACCTCGTGAAGCCTGAAGCCTGCAAAAGCCTAAATGCTGAATGCAACAGCAAATACATGAAATAAGATGCACAGAAATAACTCAAGATATTTAATTATTCCTATGTAATTTATTCCCTTGCATGATATTTTGATTCAAATTGTTAAAGCGATAGAGCTCAGCACTCTCACTGACTTTCACTTGTGAACAGTTTGCAATTTAAAGTGCCATACATAATTTCCCATGTAGTTTGTTGTTGTAACTACTAGGGCTACCAGCGTTAATGGGAAAAGAGAAGAGAGCATTCAGCTGTGCAAGCTAGAGGAATTCAGAAAGGCTTTAAATTATATTTTGATAGCTTTTTAAAAGCTGTAAACTGCAGTGGTTCAGTAATCAGGATAGTATTTCTCTGAGAATGATAGATAGTTCAATTTCTACCACTCCAAATAACGGAATCAATTGTGTCCTATTGGAGATCAAACACCCACAATCACACAACAAACAGGAATTAGTGTCGGGATGGGCCACCTCCGAGACAGTGACAGGAGTTTCTGGTAAAAGCATTTGCCTTCACTGGGACTCTCCATATCACCAGGTAATCACACAGGTTTGGGAAAGCAGCAACAGCCCAAATTCCAATTTATAACACCACAAATCTATCAATTACATACAATAACATTCAGAAAATATGTGCAGCTGTTTTACACACACGAATAGTCTTTTAGAATGGATGCGCATACTCAGTTTTCTAGTAGAAAAATTAGGTGTGTACAGAAAAAAATCTTTTCTCCTGAAAGGCTGTTAACCTCATCACTGAAGAGGGTGACAGTGTATAAGGGAAGCAAGATAAAAACCAAACCCAAACCATCTCCAGAGCCAGATAACATTGAATAATTTCTTCTACTAGCTGATGGATGCTCAAGACACAGCCACACCCAAAGGAGCCCCGCTGAAATTCTCCGCTTTGCTTTGCTAGAGCAAAGGAAGTTGACTTTGCCTACGAAGAGACCAGCTAATAGGCATCCCTGTGGGGCGAGCTCCTAGTGCTGCAAGCTGAGGGCCAGCAGCTCCTGCATCTGCTTTCTCCTCTCCCTGATGTAGGAGGAAATCCTGGCGGAAGAAAGGCACCCACGCAGAAAGGAGCTCCATCAACCCAAGCTTCCAGAGGCAGAAGGTCCATTCAGCAGCACCAACCTGAGCTGGGACAACCAGCACAGAAACAAAGGGTAACTAACCTTTTAATGGAATTATAATTTTCAGTTACAATCTTTGGAAAAGGCAACCCAGCCACACACTTAGGAGATCAGTAAGTGTGGACACCTGGTGCACCTTATGTCAAACTTTTAGCAAATGGAATACCAATCATTTACCTCCTCCCAGATAATTTTTCAATGTATTCATAATAAGATTAGAGACTTTTCCAAGAAAGACTATGCGTAGAAGTTAAAAAGCAGCAGAACAGATTAAGAATCGTGAGAAGCTCTTCTCAATGTGACCATCCTCATTAAGCTGGGATACAGTAAAACTCTCAACATTGGGGCAGCTCCAGGTTTGAAGTGATCAAGTTGTGATCAGAGCTACAAGTGCTCCAGAGACAGGTGCAGTCCCCTGGTGTGAAGGTGGCAGGAACCATTGCTAATCACTGTTACCTGAGTTTTTAAGTTTTGCAGCTGAAGAAAAAATAACCCAGAGTTACCATGGGAGGCTGGTGAATTACAGTGCAGTTTAGCATTTCATTGGAAGAGTATTACCTATACAGAAAAAATTCTTACTCTCATCGATACTGGCTTCAGGTTGATCACTTTTCGATATGGCTTAAAACAGTGACACGCAAGGAATCCTTGCCTCACAAACTGATGTGGTCATCTCCCAGAACCAAATTTCAGCAAAGGAAGTGCAACAATTTTTACTTTTTTGGTCTTTCAGTCTAACTTCTTGCATCCCAAATGGACCAGCTTCATTTGGATCAATATTTTCAGCCAACCAAAAAGAGTAATTACTTGCAGTCAGCATGACTTCTGCCTACAGGAGGACCCACACCGTAACTTGTGTATTTTGTTCGCAACCCTGGTCAAATCATACTGATGAAAATTCAGACCAAAATGGGCGCTTGGAAAATATTTACGTGTTCCCATCTACAGACCCGAGTCCTGTGGCAATAAGCTGAGAAGGAAGACAATAACGTACAACCAAAACCAGACTCTCAGAAGTCATCAAGTCAAAGGGTGCAATGAAAATCCTGACAACTGGCTTCCACCTGCATCCAGCACAGGAGTCAGGAGGAAAGACACGCATCTGAGATACTTGGTAGTGCTTGCAGTCCATGGATTTAGGCGAAGGGGTCTGGAAAAGAGTCTGGAACTCAT